TCAAAGAGCCACCAAGAGACAGAAACAGATGAAGATGAAGCACAGTGGAAATACCATTTTTGATGAGATTGTTAACATTGCCCAGCAGATGCAGCACTTGTCTTTAGCCAGAGAACTTTCTGGAAATATTAAGGAGATCCTGGACCCTCATGACATCAGCACTGATGCAGTGGAATGCTCAGCTTGTTAAAAAGCCATGAAAGAAAAATATTTCAATAAAAGACTATCTGATAAGCAAGAAAACTAGAAAGCAAGCAAGCAAGGAAAGAAGAAAAGAAAGAAGAAAAGAAGGAAGGAAGAAAGGAAGGAAAAAAGAAGAAAGGTTTTATTTAGTTGGTGGGTAGATGATTGGTTTATTAAATTAATTTGTTCTTTCTGTTTATCTGTGCTTTGTTTTTTTAACAGAATCTCATCAAAGCACTAAGAAAACAACCAACAGCATTCTTAAGTGTAGCTGGTACAATGACACCCAAGTTCTTTCAAGTCATGTCAGTGGTCTTTGTAAGCAGAGCCCCAAGGGGAGGTGAGTCCAACCAGAGCCGAGGAAGCAGAGAAGGCACTGAATAGAAAGGCAAGTTAAGAGTTTTGATCACAGCTCTCTTTACGATTTTTCTCTGCTTCAGATACATAGCAACGGCGGGCAATATTATAAAAATTACAATCAGGCCCAAGACAATAAAAATAAATACCTCAAGGCACCGTAAGTGGAAGGAGGGTACAATGGCTGGTATTTTCACTATAGGCTCCAGACACAGACACGGGTGTGAGAGTTAAAATCCGGAGAGGACTGCAAGCTTCCCACACCAAACAGGGCAGTAAAGAGGCTCTCTCCATGTGGAGACACAGGGTATTATGGATCTGCCGCACTGCCAGGAAGCCCCTGAAAACTCGCTGCCAATCATTGTCTATGGAGTTATATCTCACAATGAAATGCAGATCTAGGAAGGTTATATAAGGAAATAATGATATATATTATACACATATACGTTATATATGTATGTGTATATATATATGTGTGTGTGTGTGTGTGTGTGTGTGTGTGTATGTGTGTGTGTGTGTGCATATCATACAGATAAAAGAGTTGCAGGTGGGTTTGTGGAAAGCTCCCACCTTCATCCAGTTGGAATCACCGAGAATGGAAATGACAGATAGGAGAATTAAAGCAATAAGAGCTAGCGGTTTTCTAAGAGCAGCGAAATGATTAACAGTAGACTTGATGTCTTGCGTGCCTTGAAAACCTGGTCCCCAGTGCAAGCACTGTTCAGAGATGGGGCTGTGAGGGAAATCATTAGATAATAAAGATTCTATCTTCATAAATGTGTCAATCCATTTCCAAACCCAGAGTTTGAATACAGCATTGGAAGATGGCGGAACCGTGAAGGTGAGTCACTGGGAGCACGGCCTAGCTCCATCCTGTCTCTTTCTTTGTTTCTTGGTCACAACAAGGCGAGAGCTCTTCCTTCACCCACTTCTGCCACCATGATTTCAACCTCGCCTCTGGCCTCAAGTGATAGAGCTTAGCCAAATCCACGAGCCCAAGTTAGCCTTTCTTCTTTTTCAGCTGTTTGTGGAAGGTGTTTTGTTACAGCAGCGACAGCTGGAAACACTCCCAAAAGCTGATCAGCATAAACAAAACTCAGTCAAGAGATGATTTATTTCAAGAGTGTATAGCATGAAGAATAGCTACAACCTGTCCTCAAATCTATTACTCAGTGGAAATGGACTGACAGACACTTTCTTATCCATAACCAATATTGGAAAACATCTTCAAAGTGCAAGGAAAAATAACTTTTAACCTGATGATTTATCCTGGACAACAAACAAACAAACAAACAAAAACCCTGACTTTGAAAATCAAGGGAGTTTCCATTCACAAACCCAAGCACCTAGTACAGGATGTACCTTATCAAAAAAGAGTTTCCAGAAAGTACCATGAAAAAGAAACAGGTGTGAGTATAAGAACTAACAAAATACTTTGGTGCAGTCTGTCAAGCTATGGTATGGAGTTGAACCTGTCATATTTCAAAGGCACAAAAAGTAAAACTGTGTAAGGTGTTCAATGAGTGGATGAAATGTGTTAAGCTAATTCTCAGAAGTATCTATGGCCGCTGTTTTAAAAACGTTATTAAATTCAGCCCAGGTTCCCTAGCCCTGGCCCGACACAGTTCTGTGCCATGCCATGTGGCTGGCAGGAGGTGAGGTGGAGGTGGAGGACAGGAGCCGCCGTCTGGTAACTCTAACCCCGGATGCAACAGAGCAGGAGCAGGAGCAACAGCACCGCATTGTGCCCTGAAGCTGGCCTGAGCGGGTCTCAACCAAGTACCGCCCGGCACCCATGGCACCAGACTGTCAGACACCATTGTGGTAAGCAGATACAGGATGGGGAGGGAGGTGGAAGAGATAAAGAGGTAGAGACGTTCATGGGCTGGGGAAAGAGCCAGATCTGAGGAGAAAAGGGTGGCGAGGAATAGGCTAATGTGAAGGGCCTGCTAGCCACCTGAGTCCAAGTGCATTTCCGGGCCTGTGCTTCTGCCAAGGGCCAATCTTGGGCCAAGGCCCTGGAGCGCTGAGAGGGAATGAGATGACGCCTGTGGCTTCTGCCGCCACTTAGGGGTCACTGAGGGCCCTGTGGAGGCTTGTGGTCTGGCTGCTACCTGGAGCCAGGTTGACAACCGAGGGCCATGCTACTAAGGGGGCCGAGAGGATCTGAGCGGCATGTACAGCCACCTGGGGCCAAGGTGACATCTGGGTCCAGGCTGCTGCCGAAGACCATGTCTGGGTCCGTGGTCCTACCACAGCTGGGGTCTGTGTTGATGTCTGGTGGCCCATGGTGCCCCCAGGAGTCACATGGAGGCTCAGGATCTAGGCTGCAACTGTGACCATGTTGATGTCTGAGGGCTGTGCCACAGCCAGGACCATGAAACAGAGCCACCCACATTTAGTATGGGTTTTCCCATTTTGACTAACCTAGTCAAAAAAAATCTTTCATAGGCAGAGGCAAAGGATATTGAATCTAGATGATTCCTTCCTCACAGATAGACTCAAAGGTGTTTCCGTGTCTTGTCAAGTTAATAGGCAATCACACTAGACACGATGTGTGGTTTAGTGCGACACTGGCATGCCTATTATGGGGACAGCCAACATCTCTCTGGTTGAACTGAAGGTCCCCTTCACAGGAGAGAGTTTATGCTCCCTAGTCAAGACCCTATGGCTGAGGAGGTTGTGGAAAACTATTACTATTATTTTTGCTAAATTGTCATGTTGTCAAACTATCTTCTAAAGACTTCAAGTTTATACCCACAGATAAGGGCTATGCCCAGCCTTAATCAGAGAAGCTTCTAGACAGTAGTTAACACAGAAGCCCACAACTGGCCAAAGGTTCAAGAATGTTTAGACGGTGGAACGTTTAGCACTAAATGGGAAAGCTCTATCATCCCCTCCAAGGCCCAAGGAACATCATGGAAGAAGGAGCAGAAAGAACGTAAGAACCAAACGATGGGGAATGTGTGGCCAAAAAAAAGGTGTCTTCCGGGCATGACACCGCCATTGCACGCATGAACTCACTGAAACTGTGAGTTCTCTACTGCCAGACCTGCACAAGGCTGGACTTCCCAATGTCTTGTCATAGATAGAGTGGGACCCATGAGGCCCCACCCTTCCCTGAGACACTATAAGCAATTAACGGCTGTCCAGAGAAGGGGAGCCATTTTCTTCCGTCAATTGTCCTTGCTCCAGTAAGTAACCTTCTACCTACACTCTGGCAAGCAACTCCAGTCAAGCAGGATGAGCCACACAGAAAAGGAAGATATACAAGTAAGATGGGGAAAGTGAGAAGAAGAATTTCAGCAAGAGAGGAAAATAGGTAGGATGAAAGTTGACTGAAATTTATTATATACGTGTGGGGGTTATCAAATAATTAAAAAGACAAATAAAAAATTAGTTTGACTACTAATAAAAGAACAAAATTTTCCTATGTCGCTATATTTTGCATTTTTATTTAAAATTTTGCATATGAAATATATTTTGATCATAGTCTTCCCTTCCCCGGTAATAAATATTTCTATATATAACTTTTAGCATCCATTCTGATATCAATGTAACTGAGTAAGAAATAAAAGATTAAACGTTGTTGATCTATACACATTGTGTGTGTTATGACTTTAGAATGTATGTATGCTAAAGATTAACTCAGAATGAAAATTAGAAAAAACTTGGAACCTGATAATACAGACAGAAAAGCCGTAGATTCCACTAAAAGGACACTCAAAGGTTTGGTTAACACAAATGCACTTAATTCATTAAAAGATTAATGAATGAATGCCATTCTCCTTAAGAATCTTTGAAAAACAAGACTAAGGGCCTGGGGAGGACACCCTGTGGCAGGGCACTGGCCTAATGCTAGACGCCCTGGGTTCAAGACCCAGCCTAACAAAGGGATAAAGGACGACTTCAAAATTAATAAGATTTACTTAAAAAAAGAAAAGGAAAAAATAGAGAAGCCAGAGCAATTTAGAAACCATTCTTTTCAGATTGTCAAAGTCCAGGCAAAACTCAAGAAAACATACCAAGAAATTATATGTAAGTCGCAAATAAACAACAGAAAACGAATAGGCAGGAGATTAAGCAGAAAAAGTTAAAATCATAATCAAATGCTGTGAGAAACTTTATGTAATAAAGTAAAAAACTTGAAAACCAGGATAAGAGTGATTTTCTAGAAAAGGTATGGATTATCACATTTTGCTTAGAAGAAAAATTTAAAATGTAAAAACTAATCATTATTAAGGACATTTATTCGATATTCAAAAACATCCCCAACCCCCCCTAAAAATAGATTTAGATTAATGACATAGATAAGTTTTATAAAACTTCAAAGACTGAATGATTCTAATATTGCACATAAATTAGATTTTAGTTTATAGGTTTTTGGAAGAACCTTTCTGTCTTAGTTAACTTGTGCATTATATGAAACAAAAATACAAGAAACAAAGAACAAAATCATCAAAAGTATGAAATGCTTCACAAATTTGCATGCCATTCTTGCTCAGGGCCATTCTAATGTCTCTGTACAGTTCCCGCTTTAGCATAGGTGCTGTTGAAGGGAACACTATCAATTGCTTTGTTAAATAGTGAAGTAGGACAGCTCCTCAACTCATTTCCTAAGGATTCTTTAATCTTACATCAGATAGAGAATGCTATAAGGGGAAAAAACTTATATATATAAGGGGAAAAAGACTTACCAGAAAATTGACTTTCAAAAATTAAGCAAAATACACTATATGTTATTCAGTAGCTTACAAAATACAATGAAATGGGGTTGATTTAGAGCATATATGGTTAGTTAATAAGACAAATGATCATTTTAATAGACTCAAAAACTATTTGATATCATTAATATCCATTCCTGGTTTTAGAAGACCTAAAAGGTTGGGAAAAAATAAAGTTTTGCAAGAGAAGCAAAGAAATGGGTCACGGTTAGGAATAGGTACTAAAGTCATTAGACAAAATCCAGGCATGGACTGAGCTCCAAGTGTGAAGTGCTGAGAGGACAGAGGGAGAGTTCTCTTTCGTCCAGGTAATAAAAACATAAGATGATCGAATAACTTTTGGAGAGCAAATTGGAAATACAAACAAGACTAAATATATTAACAACAGGTTATAGAATATCCTAGTTTATTATTTTCACTGATAATTGTCTTAAAAAACAATTAAAACTGAAATGGCATTTAGAATATGCCAGGAATGTTCTTTACATATGTCCTGACTTTAAATCATTTAGTAGGGGCTGGTGAAATGGCTCAGCAGCTAAAGGTGTTTGCCACCTAACCTGCATGCCCTAGTTTAATTCCCAGAACCTAAATGCCCAAATTGTAGAATGGTAGAATGAATCCCACAAATTGTCCTGTGACTTCTATGTATGCGCGCGTGCTAGCGCACACAGACACACACACACAGGCATGCACAGGGTAAAAACAAACAAAAAACTAATCATTAAATCCTTGTCTCCTGAGATGGAAACTTGCTCTTTCCACATTTTCCAGACACTGGCTCTAAGACATGAAGGGATTAAGTAAGCTACGTGCTCACGAGCACATTAGTAACTGGTTAGTAACTGGTGGAGCCTAGATTCAAATTCACATTATATGAGAGCCAAGCTGAGACATGTATTAGCGTGTTTACTACAGCATGTTTTAGGAATCCAAAGCTTAAGAAAATATAAAATAACAAGAAAATGAGTTCACAGTGTACTGAACTTTTGTAATTCAGACTAGATGATGTAACAAGGAGATTTCAAGAAAAGTATGGTTCAAAGAGATAAATAATAAGTCCTTATTTATTCTCTGTCTCTCTGTCTCTCTCTCTCTCTCTGTGTCCCCTCTTATTTCCTTCCCATTCTTATTAACCTCTGCTTTCCCTTTTCCAGATTCATAGTTTTGTGTTGCACTGTGTGACCTATTTAGTTCAACCAGAGCCACTCGTGTGACCCCTGTACTGGAACTATCCACTGGAGACTGGGGGGGGGGGGGGCTGGGTCCCAGTAGACACCAAAGGCAAAGATTCGCCCTCTCCTTGAAGCATCATAGCAGCAAACAGTGAGGGGTGAGGTCCCTGAATTCCAACAAGACCTATTCTTCTTTATTCAATCACCAATTCTTTTTTTCTAACTTACTTCTTCATTTGAGAAGTTTCTACTCGCCGCTGTGCAGAAGTAAGAGACCAAAGTACAGAGCCTTCCCTCGGATTCTGGATTCTCACAGGTCCTGCTGTTGTTTTTGCTGCTGCATGGTGTTTTTGGACTGAGGGCACAATGGGAGTTGACACAAGATCTTACTACATAGCTCTCTGGCCAGAAACTCACTATGTACACCGAGGTTGGTCTTTAACTTGCCTCTCTGATTATAAGTAAGCACCACCAAGCCAGTCATTGTTTTTAAGATATCTCTGAGTCCTGACTAATCCATCTTCAGCTCTATGAGCTGATCCTGGTGAGACCCACAAAGGAAGAGAACGCAAGCTTCTTTTGCCCTTTGTGCTTCTACACCTAATCCCCTCACTACTTCCCCAACTCTGCCTTCCAGAATCCTTTGCAGTCAACCCACTAGCATGGCTTCATCCTCTTACCCTAGCCTCTCAGCAATCCCACACAAGAGGTTTCCTACAGTTTGGGTCTTTCTGGACATTCTTATAATTCATTTTTGTGGTCTTTATTTTATTCTGAAAAATGAAACATTCTCAAAGACAAAGCTTTATTCCAAGTGTGGATTTTGAAGCACATAAGATCATCAGTGTCTTTCAGCAAAGACCAGCATGATCGCACTCTGAGTCAATCAACAGGTTGAGTGACAGAGGAGGGAACATTGGTGGTCATGAAGTACCTCAGTAGAGAGTGTCAGAAAGGCCCAGCTATGGGACTTGGGATTCTGTCAGGTCCGTTGAGGAAGGGCATGAGGAAGGGAGTGTTGGCTCTAAACGGACACTTTCAAAAGGTTGGGAAGCTTTAAGATGGAAAAAGAAATAGTCCTCACTTGTCCTCTGCATTTTTGGCAGAACTGTTGCCTGTTCTTGTTGTTCCATCTTATTCTGTATGTTCTCAGAGCAATGTCTGAGGTTAGTGCTGTGTGTGCGACTGATGTCTGATAGGAGAATTAGCCGAGCTTAACTGAAGTGGCCCACCAGCTACTGGACGTCAGGGGCTGCTTTTCCACTCTGGTTTTCTTCATTACTCTGAACTACAGTCCTAGTCTCTTTTCGACATATTTCACAAGATATCTGTCTGCAGGGCCAAAGACATTCTTCAGTTTTTCTGTGAGAATTAGATAGAAGGTGCCACCATGATCTCTGGGTACCTCAGTCAGGGCAGGGATGACATGTGAAAGCCTTTGTGCTGAAATTTTAATGAGTTCAGGTCACAAAGATACTGAAGATCTTTTTAAACACTAAGTGCGGGGAAAGTGCCTGGGAAATTAGGAAGATTGACTGAAGGTGTTTGTGATTCTTCCGCAGAATGGATTGTCTCCTACCGTTACAATGTAGAAAGAATTGTCTCATATTGTTACAATGTAGAATGGATTGTCTCGTACCGTTACAATGTAGAATGAATTGTCTCATACTGTTACAATGTAGAATGGATTGTCTCATACTGTTACGATGTAGAATGGATTGTCTCATACCGTTACAATGCAGAATGCAACCCATCTGTTACAAGAGCATGTTTTCACCCACTGACTGATTTAGGAAAGATCTCAGAAAAGGCTTGCAGTGGTCCTGGGGGACATCTCTCCTAGACTGAAACCCTAGCAATGCAAAAATCCAGTTTGCAATGATAAACATACTTGTTTGGCAGGATCTTGAGGATGGGCTTCCTCCTTTGGAAATTTATTTTGTTTTCTGTTTTGTTTTTTCCCTTACCAACAGAAGCAGTCACAATGCCACCGAATACTACTTTCTCAGCTAATACCTTATAATGCTTAATTAGCACCTAAACCACGCTATCTGTTGCTGAAAGTTATAATCAGAATTTCTTAACAATTTGCAATAATAATGTTTTGACAGGCATAAGAGAATTCAGAGCTGAAAACAAAATTTCATGCTATTTGCTTTTTATTTAAATTTTAAGATATTGAATTATTTTATCTCCTCCAAATCTTTCAGAAAAAGATTGAGAATTTTCAAGGTCTTTTGGAAAAATCAGTTTTTGGAAACATCAGAGAATCAAGCAGTTTAAGGCAGAAATTAAAATTTCTATGCAGTGGTTGGCTGACATGGCTACCTAGGTAGGAAATCCTCAAGAAGACTTGACTGACCACATCCCACGGTCCTTCGCTGTTCAAAGACATGTGATATTTAACCTGCCTATTATATAAGCTTCTGCTCAACTTCTGCTGATAACAGAGGGAATCTTATCAACTCAGAAACAAACACTCAAGGTCAGTCTCCTGATCGTAACTTAGAGCGTGGACAGCAACCTGTGGAATACCACTGCTGAGTAGAAGGGGCAGAGACCAGAAACTGCGTGGTTGCCCGGGAGACACTGGCCTGGCAGACACTCCAGATGAAGGAGACAGACACAGGGTCCTCAGAGCCATGCAGGTGCAGGGCAGAGATCCTGGGAACACAAAATGTTAATGTCCACCGGTTTCTTGTGTTGCCTCATGGTGGCCAAGATGCACCGCGGCTTGATGGAAATTCCAGATTAGAGCAGCTGATGGAAGGATTGATCTTCCCGAAGGGCACGGTCCACACTAACAACTGACTCTGTTACAGAAGGGAAGAAAGGAGGGAGGGAATGGGGGAGGAAGGGAGGGAAAGAAGGAAGGAAGGAAGGAAGGAAGGCAGGAAGAAGGGAAGGAAAGAAGGAAGAAAGGAAAGAGGAAAGGAGCTTTAACTGATCTTTTAAAGGAAAGAAGGAAGGAAGGAGAAATAGATGCTCGGAAACTGGTTTCAGAGTAAAGAATTGTGTATTCCTATTGCAATAAGGGCAACCAGATGACTGCCTGCTCTCTCTCTCTCTCTCTCTCTCTCTCTCTCTGTCTCTGTCTCTCTCTCTCTCTCTCTCTCTGAATCATGATTTTATTGGAATATAGTTACTACATTCACCCTTTTTTATTGTCTTGGGTCGCATCCCTGAGTACCTCCAACATAAACCGAAAGTCCTTCGCTGTATTTACTTCCTGGCTCTTTACAGAAAGTCCTCCCACTCCACTACCACGAAGTCAGTTCAGAAGAGTGAGAAAATTCTCAAAAATGTGAGTCTTTTTTAACTAAACTATTGCCTAGAGCATCAACCTTCTAATTCGCTTCACCCTTATGGAGCTTCTGGAGTGTACAAAAGATGGGTGATAGACTCCTAGAAAAATTGCAGATTTGATGACCGTAGATGAAGGAGATGCATGAGCACTAGCTTGGGAATCTCTGGAATGAACACATTCACCATGGATTTGCCCTGGAGAGAAACTCAAAGTAGACAGAGAAAGAAAGGAAGGAAGAAAGGAAAGAGCATAGGGAAGACCCAGAACCCAGAGTCAGAACAGGAGCAAGGACTGAAGAATAACAACGGGTCTTGGGGTGGGGGTGGTAGTGCAAGCTACCTCTGGAGCTGCTGTTGATC